CAGCTTTTCAATTATTGTAATAAGGATAACTGTCACTGAAATAAGAATAAACTTTTTACTACTTCATCTTTTCAGTTATTGTCATTGGATCTGATTAGACTTCTTTTCTGATCCGATTATGCAAGAATGACTTTGCCTAACATTGCACTAATCGGGGATTCAGAATAAACATGTCTATGAATGAAATCTTTGGAAAATAAAAAAAAATAAAAACTTTCTAAAATCAAGTTCTACACCAATTCAACGCAATATCATACAGACAAATTTCAAAAAAAGGAAAAGTTAGGGCAGTTTAAGCCCCCATTTGAGAAGCCTCGTATCTACCTTCCGTCATATACTTCATGTAAATGACAATAGTCGGCCAGATGTGAAGGGGGATGTGCCAGTGGTATGGCCGGCCGTCCCCGCGCTTGGAGGCCATCTCGCTTATGCCTTCGATGGGCTCTGGGGTCACTTCCAAGATGAAGATTTTCACGCCGAGCTTATGCAGCTGTTTGGCCGCAGTGACGTCCGCTCCCTCCTTCCCAGCCGAGCCGAAGATGGGGAGGACTGTTGGGGAGGAGAGGCTTAGTACTCTGGTGTAAGACATTGAAATACTCTTTGATTGTATGGGGTTTGTTAGAAACCTTTTAGTTTAATGTATAAAAAATTACTTTCCATAATATTAATCTTTTTCTAATGTACTCTAATGTTTCTAATGCACATAGCTTTTCTTAATAAATTTAATGCAGTGTTTTCTTAATAAACTTACTGTAGTGTTTGTTTTTTTTCTTATAAGTCTATTGAGGTGTTTTTCTTAATGAACTTTTAATGCATGTTTTCTTAATATACTTTAATACAGTATTTTTCTGAATAAACAAAAAGCAATGTTTTTCTTAAACAGTACCTCTTGCCTGACAATGTAAAAAAAAAAAAAAAAAAAAAAAAAAAAAAAAAAAAAAAAAAAAAAAAAAAAAATCCTTGCTTCCAAACAATTATTTTCAAAAAAAAAAAAAAAAAAAAAGAAAAGAAAGAAAACTAATCTAAAATTCTCTTTTAAAATCCAATGTATTGTTGCTTTCACACATCATTAACTTTAAGAAATTATTCTCCCCTTCCTCCCCCCCCCCCAAAAAAAAAGCTATTACCACACTCATTCCTTATCTCTTCCATCTCTTAGAAAATAAACAATCTATAATTTCCAAATGTCCACTAACTAACAAATTAACTAACTAACTAACTAACTCCTGGCACTAACTAACTAACTCCTGCCACTAACTAACTTACTCCTGGCACTAACTAACTAACTCCTGGCACTAACTAACTTACTCCTGGCACTAAGTAAGTAAGTAACTAACTCCTGGCACTAACTAACTAACTCCTGGCACTAAGTAAGTAACTAACTAACTCCTGGCATCTAACCAACTAACTAACTAACTATCTAAATAACTAAGTAACCAACTCAATAATTAAATAAATAAATAAATAATCAACTAAATAATTAACTAATTAACTAAGTAAATAACTAATTAACAAAATAATTAATTACATAAATAAATAACTATTTAGATAACTAACTAGATAATTATCTAACTAACCAACTAAATAACTAACAAATTAACTAACTAGATAACGAATTAACTAAATAACTAACTACATAACTAACTAACTAAATAAATAAACCAACCAACTAACTAACTAACTAAAAAAAATATATAAACTAGCTAACTAACAAACCAACTAACTAAAAAAATAAGTTCCTTTCCCAACTCACACAGGACTTGCAGGAAGATTGGACTTCTTGAAATTCTAACTAACTAAACTAAACCAAAGTAAACTAAACTAAACTAAACCAACTAACTCAACTAAATCAAACCAAACTAACTAAACTAAACCAACTAACTAAACCAAACCAACTAACTAAACTAAACTAAACCAACTAACTCAAATTAAACCAAACTAACTAAACCAAACCAACTAACTAAACTAAACCAACTAACTAAACTAAACTAAACCAACTAACTAAACTAAACCAACTAACTAAACTAAACCAACTAACTAAACCAAACCAACTAACTAAACTAAACCAACTAACTAAACTAAACCAACTAACTAAACTAAACCAAACCAACTAACTAAACCAAACCAACTAACTAAACTAAACCAACTAACTAAACTAAACCAACTAACTAAACCAAACCAACTAACTAAACTAAACCAACTAACTAAACCAAACCAACTAACTAAACTAAACCAACTAACTAAACTAAACCAACTAACTAAACTAAACCAACTAACTAAACTAAACTAAACCAACTAACTAAACTAAACCAAACCAACTAACTAAACCAAACCAACTAACTAAACCAAACCAACTAACTAAACCAACTAACTAAACTAAACCAACTAACTAAACCAAACCAACTAACTAAACTAAACCAACTAACTAAACCAAACCAACTAACTAAACTAAACCAACTAACTAAACCAAACCAACTAACTAAACTAAACTAAACCAACTAACTAAACCAAATCAACTAACTAAACTAAACCAACTAACTAAACTAAACTAAACCAACTAACTAAACCAAACCAACTAACTAAACCAAACCAACTAACTAAACTAAACCAACTAACTAAACTAAACCAACTAACTAAACTAAACCAAACCAACTAACTAAACTAAACCAAACCAACTAACTAAACTAAACCAACTAACTAAACTAAACCAACTAACTAAACCAAACCAACTAACTAAACCAAACCAACTAACTAAACTAAACCAACTAACTAAACTAAACCAACTAACTCAACTAAATTAAACCAAACTAACTAAACCAAACCAACTAACTAAACTAAACCAAACCAACTAACTAAACTAAACCAGCTAACTAAACTAAACTAAACCAACTAACTAAACTAAACCAACTAACTAAACCAAACTAACTAAACTAAACCAACTAACTAAACTAAACCAAACCAACTAACTAAACCAAACCAACTAACTAAACTAAACCAACTAACTAAACTAAACTAAACCAACTAACTAAACCAAACCAACTAACTAAACCAAACCAACTAACTAAACTAAACCAACTAACTAAACTAAACCAAACCAACTAACTAAACTAAACCAGCTAAATAAACTAAACTAAACCAACTAACTAAACTAAACCAACTAACTAAACCAAACCAACTAACTAAACTAAACCAACTAACTAAACTAAACCAAACCAACTAACTAAACCAAACCAACTAACTAAACTAAACCAACTAACTAAACTAAACCAACTAACTAAACTAAACCAACTAACTAAACTAAACCAAACCAACTAACTAAACTAAACCAACTAACTAAACCAAACCAACTAACTAAACTAAACCAACTAACTAAACTAAACCAACTAACTAAACTAAACTAAACCAACTAACTAAACTAAACCAACTAACTAAACTAAACCAACTAACTAAACTAAACCAACTAACTAAACTAAACTAAACCAACTAACTAAACTAAACTAAACCAACTAACTAAACTAAACCAACTAACTAAACTAAACTAAACCAACTAACTAAACTAAACTAAACCAACTAACTAAACTAAACCAACTAACTAAACTAAACTAAACCAACTAACTAAACTAAACCAACTAACTAAACTAAACTAAACCAACTAACTAAACTAAACCAACTAACTAAACTAAACTAAACCAACTAACTAAACTAAACCAACTAACTAAACTAAACCAACTAACTAAACTAAACCAACTAACTAAACTAAACCAACTAACTAAACTAAACCAACTAACTAAACTAAACTAAACCAACTAACTAAACTAAACTAAACCAACTAACTAAACTAAACTAAACCAACTAACTAAACTAAACTAAACCAACTAACTAAACTAAACCAACTAACTAAACTAAACCAACTAACTAAACTAAACTAAACCAACTAACTAAACTAAACTAAACCAACTAACTAAACTAAACCAACTAACTAAACTAAACCAACTAACTAAACTAAACTAAACCAACTAACTAAACTAAACCAACTAACTAAACTAAACCAACTAACTAAACTAAACCAACTAACTAAACTAAACTAAACCAACTAACTAAACTAAACTAAACCAACTAACTAAACTAAACTAAACCAACTAACTAAACTAAACTAAACCAACTAAACTAAACCAACTAACTAAACTAAACTAACTAACTAAACTAAACCAACTAACTAAACTAAACTAAACCAACTAACTAAACTAAACCAACTAACTAAACTAAACTAAACCAACTAACTAAACTAAACTAAACCAACTAACCAAACCAACTAAACTAAACCAACCAACTAACTAAACTAAACCAAACTAACTAAAAAAAAGAAAAAAGTTCCTCTGCCCACTCACACAGGACCTTGCATGGCGCCTTGGACTTCTTGAACTTCTTGAAGGTCTCCCTGAGGACGGGCTCGAGGCGCGTCGGGAACCTCGGGTGCGACAGGTCCCTGAAGGCATCCCTGAGGGCGCAGTGGTGCACGCCCCTCCCCAGGGACAGCTTCTGGGTCACGTGGTCGGAGTACATGGCGAGGCCCACGCGCATCGTCTCCGAGATTCTGTTGCGAAAAGGGAGGGGAAGTTGGTGTGAAAAGGGAGGGGGAGTTGTTGCAAAAGGGATGGGGGGGGGGAGTTGTTGCAAAAGGGATGGGGGGGGGGAAGTTGTTGAAAAGGGATGGGGGGGGGGAGTTGTTGCAAAAGGGATGGGGGGGGGAGTTGTTGCAAAAGGGATGGGGGGGGAGTTGTTGCAAAAGGGATGGGGGGGGGGAGTTGTTGCAAAAGGGATGGGGGGGGAGTTGTTGCAAAAGGGATGGGGGGGGTTGTTGCAAAAGGGATGGGGAAGTTGTTGCAGAGGGACGCGAAGTTGTTGCAAAGGGACGGAATCACAGGCGTGGGTTTAAAGGGGGGGGGGGAGGGTTTTTTTGTGTCTGTGTGTGTAGGGGGGAGGGGAGGGGAGGGGAGGGGAGGGGAGGGAGGGAGAGGGGAGATCTCTGCCACCGTGTTTGAGTTCTGTCTTTTGGGGAAACAAAGCTAAAAAGACATTCTAGTAAATCGGTTTAGATCATCTCAAAAAGGAAAAAAAAAAAAAAAAAAAAAAAAAAAAAAAAAAAAAAAAAAAAAAAGCTATTACCACACTCATTCCTTATCTCTTCCATCTCTTAGAAATAAACAATCTATAATTTCCAAATGTCCACTAACTAACAAATTAACTAACTAACTAACTAACTCCTGGCACTAACTAACTAACTCCTGCCACTAACTAACTTACTCCTGGCACTAACTAACTAACTCCTGGCACTAACTAACTTACTCCTGCACTAAGTAAGTAAGTAACTAACTCCTGGCACTAACTAACTAACTCCTGGCACTAAGTAAGTAACTAACTACTCCTGGCATCTAACCAACTAACTAACTAACTATCTAAATAACTAAGTAACCAACTCAATAATTAAATAAATAAATAAATAATCAACTAAATAATTAACTAATTAACTAAGTAAATACTAATTAACAAAATAATTATTACATAAATAAATAACTATTTAGATAACTAACTAGAATTATCTAACTAACCAACTAAATAACTAACAAATTAACTAACTAAACCAACTAACTAAACAACTAACTAAACTTAAACCAACTAACTAAACTAACCAACTAACTAACTAACTAACTAACTAACTAACTAACTAACTAAATAAATAAACCAACCAACTAACTAACTAACTAAAAAAATATATAAACTAGCTAACTAACAAACCAACTAACTAAAAAAATAAGTTCCTTTCCCAACTCACACAGGACTTGCAGGAAGATTGGACTTCTTGAAATTCTAACTAACTAAACCAAACCAACTAACTAAACTAAACCAAACCAACTAACTAAACCAACAAACTAAACTAAACCAACTAACTAAACCAAACCAACTAACTAAACTAAACCAACTAACTAAACCAAACCAACTAACTAAACGAAACCAACTAACTAAACCAACAACTAAACTAAACTAACCAACTACTAAACTAAACCACTAACTAAACCAAACCACCTAACTAACTAACTAAACCAACGAACTAAACCAAATCAACTAACTAAACTAACCACTAACTAAACCAAACCAACTAACTAAACCAACTAACTAAACCAAACCAACTAACTAAACTAACCAACGAACTAAACTAAACCAACCAACTACTAAACCAAACCAACGAACTAAACCAACGAACTAAACTAAACCAACAACTAACTAAACCAACTAACTAAACGAAACCAACTAACTAAACTAAACCAAACCAACTAACTAAACCAACTAACTAAACTAACAACTAACTAAACTAAACCAGCTAAATAAACTAAACCAACTAACGAAACTAAAACCAACTAACTAAACCAAACCAACTAACTAAACTAAACCAACTAACTAAACCAAACCAAAACCAACTAACTAAACGAAACCAACTAACTAAACTAAACTCAACCAACTAACTAAACCAAACCAACTAACTAAACTAAACCAACTAACTAAACCAACCAACTAACTAACTAAACCAAATCAACTAACTAAACCAACTAACTAAACCAACTAACTAAACAACTAACTAAACCAACTAACTAAACTAAACCAACTAACTAAACAACAAACTAAACTAAACCAACTAACGAAACCAAACCACTAACTAAACCAACAACTAAACTAAACCACCAACTAACTAAACTCAACCAACTAACTAAACCAACTACTAAACCAACTAACTAAACTTAAACCAACTAACTAACTAAACCAACTACTAAACCAAACCAACTAACTAAACCAAACAACTAACTAAACCAAACCAACTAACTAAACACACCAACTAACTAAACCAACCACTAACTAAACTAACAACTAACTAAACAAACCAACTACTAACTAAACCAAACCAACTAACTAACTAAACCAAATCAACTAACTAAACTAACCACTAACTAAACCAAATCAACTAACTAAACCAACTAACTAAACTAAACCACTAACTAACTAACTAAACTAAACTAAACTAAAACCAACTAACTAACTAACTAACCAACCAACTAACTAACTAAACAACTAACTAACTAAACCACTAACTAAACTAACCAAACCAACTACTAACTAAACTAAACTAAACCAACTACTAAACTAACTAAACCAACTAACTAAACTAAACCAACTAACTAAACCACTAACTAAACCAACAACTAACTAAACCACCTAACTAAACTAAACCAACTAACTAAACCACTAACTAAACCAACAACTAACTAAACCAACAACTAAACCAAACCAACTAACTAAACCAACTAATAAACTAAACCAACTAACTAAACCAAACCAACTAACTAAACTAAACCAACTAACCAAACCAACTAACTAAACTAAACCAACTAACTAAACTAAACCAACTAACTAAACTAACCAACTAACTAAACCAAACCAACCTAACTAACTAAACCAACTAACTAAACTAACCAACTAACTAAACTAAACCAACTAACTAAACCAAACCAACTAACCAAACCAACTAACTAAACTAAACCAACTAACTAAACCAAACCAACTAACTAAACCAAACCAACTAACTAAACTAAACCAACTAACTAAACTAAACCAACTAACTAAACTAAACCAACTAACTAAACTAAACCAACTAACTAAACTAAACCAAACCAACTAACTAAACTAAACCAAACCAACTAACTAAACTAAACCAAACCAACTAACTAAAAAAAAAAAAAAAGTTCCTCTCCCAACTCACACAAGACCTTGCATGGCGCCTTGGACTTCTTGAACTTCTTGAAGGTCTCCCTGAGGACGGGCTCGAGGCGCGTCGGGAACCTCGGGTGCGACAGGTCCCTGAAGGCATCCCTGAGGGCGCAGTGGTGCACGCCCCTCCCCAGGGACAGCTTCTGGGTCACGTGGTCGGAGTACATGGCGAGGCCCACGCGCATCGTCTCCGAGATTCTGTTGCGAAAAGGGAGGGGAAGTTGGTGTGAAAAGGGAGGGGGAGTTGTTGCAAAAGGGATGGGGGGGGGGGAGTTGTTGCAAAAGGGATGGGGGGGGGGAAGTTGTTGCAAAAGGGATGGGGGGGGGGAGTTGTTGCAAAAGGGATGGGGGGGGGAGTTGTTGCAAAAGGGATGGGGGGGGGAGTTGTTGCAAAAGGGATGGGGGGGGGGAGTTGTTGCAAAAGGGATGGGGGGGGAGTTGTTGCAAAAGGGATGGGGGGGGTTGTTGCAAAAGGGATGGGGAAGTTGTTGCAGAGGGACGCGAAGTTGTTGCAAAGGGACGGAATCACAGGCGTGGGTTTAAAGGGGGGGGGGGGAGGGTTTTTTGTGTCTGTGTGTGTAGGGGGGAGGGGAGGGGAGGGGAGGGGAGGGGAGGGAGGGAGAGGGGAGATCTCTGCCACCGTGTTTGAGTTCTGTCTTTTGGGGAAACAAAGCTAAAAAGACATTCTAGTCAATCGGTTTAGATCATCTCAAAAAGGAAAAAAAAAAAAAAAAAAAAAAAAAAAAAAAAAAAAAAAAAAAAAAAAAGCTGAACGAAAAGTACGCCAAGACCTCCTAAAATCAAACACACACCGAAATATATATCTCAGAGATATATATTTATCTCACCGGTAAAAGAAAAAAGAAAAAGAAAAAGAAAAAAAAATCAAGCCAACAAGAGGGGCGTCTCACAGATTAGATAAAGAAAGAAAGAAAATGAAAAAAAGAAAGAAAGAAAGAGAGAAAGAAAAAAAAAGAAAAGAAAAGAAAGAAAGAAAAATCAAACAAGTCAACAAAAGGGAACGTCTCACAGGTAAAAATAAAGAAAAAAAAAGAAAAGAAAGAAAGGCAGAAAAGAAAATAAATAAATAAAGAAAATAAAGTAAATAAAGAAAGAAAAGAAAAGAAAGTAAATAAATAAAGAAAAGAAAATAAAGAAAGAAAAGAAAATAAAGAAAGAAAGAAAAGAAAAGAAATAAATAAATAAAAGAAAATAAATAAATAAAGAAAAGAAAAGAAATAAATAAAGAAAAGAAAATAAATAAAAGAAAAGAAAATAAATAAATAAAGAAAGAAAATAAAATAAATAAATAAATAAAGAAAAGAAAATAAATAAATAAAGAAAGAAAATAGAGAGAAAAAAATAAAAAAAGAAAGAAAAGAAACATAAAGAAAGAAAAGAAAAGAAAGAAATAAAGAAAATAAAGAAAGAAAGAAAAGAAAATCAAGAAAGAAAATAAAATAAAGAAAGAGAGAAAAGAAAAGAAAGAAAGGAAAGAAAATAAATAAAGAAAGAAAAGAAAGAAAGAAAAGAAAAGAAAGAAAAGAAAATAAAGAAAGAGAAAAGAAAAGAAAGAAATAAAATAAAATAAATAAATAAAGAGAAAAGAAAAGAAAGAAAGAAAATAAAATAAAGAAAGAAAGAAAGAGAAAAAAGAAAAGAAAAGAAAGAAAGAAAGAAAAGAAAAGAAAAAGAAAAGAAAGAAAATAAAATAAAGAAAGAGAAAAGAAAAGAAAGAAAGAAAAGAAAAGAAAGAAAGAAAATAAAATAAAGAAAGAAAATAAAATAAAGAAAGAAAGAAAAGAAAAGAAAGAAAGAAAGAAAAGAAAAGAAATAAAGAAAAGAAAAGAAAGAAAGAAAAGAAAAGAAAGAAAGAAAAGAAAGGCAATCGAAAGCAAGCCAGCCCACCGAAGAACACTCACATGGTGCTCCCTATGGTGTGGATGAGGTTGGCCTGCGCCGCGAGTGTGTCCGCCGGAGCCTCCGTCGACGCGTGCAGCAGGAACACGGTGTCGCACTTGCACTCGCCCTCCGCCAGGACGTCGCTGAAGGAGGTGGCGATGTCACCTGGGGGGGAGGAGGAGGAGGAGGAGGAAGTTGGTTGTGTGAAATGAATGAATTGATATATATGCGTTTGTGTTTGTGTGTGTGTGTGTGTGTTTGTGTGTGTTTGTATGTGTGTGTGTGTTTGTGTTTGTGTTTGTGTGTGTGTGCGTGTGTGTGTGTGTGTTTGTGTGTGTGTGTTTGTGTTTGTGTGTGTTTGTGTTTGTGTTTGTGTGTGTGTGTGTATGCGTGTTTCCTTCTAGAATAAGCCACTTCTTCCTCAAAATAAAAACAAAAAAATCAGTAACATAAAACTTACTGAGAATCTCATCCGTGTGAGGCAGTTCGCTCGAAGGAAGCCGGATGGTGTCGGCGCTCTCTGGAAAGCAATGTTGCACGCGTTTGAGTATTATTGCAAGAGGTGAATGTGATAGATGCTGGGAAAATCTGTAATGAATGCGAAACAAAAAAAAAAATGGGAATATCTAAAACTGTGTATCTATTTATATATCTATCTATTTGTGAATCTATTTTCTGTCTATCCAACTGTGTATCTATTTTTCTATCTATGTGTGCCTATCTATCTACCAATCATCTCTGAGGCATGGCATATGACACCTGGTCATGCGATCTCGTCTTCTTCTTCTTCTTCTTCTCTGAGGCACCTGGTCATGCGATTTCGTCTTCTTTTTTTCTTTTCCTTCTTCTTCTTCTTCTTGTTTTCCTTCTCCTTCTCTGTCTCCGTCTCCTTCTCCTTCTTCTCCTTCTCCTTCTCCATCTCCTTCTCCTTCTTCTTCTTCCTCTTCTTTCCATTCTTCTTCTTTTCATTCTTAATCTTCTTCTTCTTCCTCTCCACCTCATTTATTTTCTTTTCTTTTTTCTTTCTTTTTTCACCTCGATCTTGATTTTCTTCTTCTCCTTCTCCTTCTCCTTCATTTATCATCATCCTTCCTAGTTTAAGTGGACTTGAGGGGAAGGGGGGAGGGGGAGGGGGAGGGGGGAGGAGGAGGAGAGATGGAGAGGAAGGAGGGAGGAGCGGTAAGGGCAGGAGGAGAAGGAGAAGGAGAAAGAGAAGGAGAAGGAAAAGGAGGAGGAGGAGAAGGTGGAGAAGAAGGAGGAGGAAGAGAAGGAAAGAGGAGGAGGAGGAGAAAGGAAGGAGGAGAGAGGAAAAGGAAGAGGAGAGCGGAAAAGACCAGGAAGTCAGGTTAAGACAACGAAAACAAAACCAAACCAAAACAAAAAACGTAAAAGCAATTACCTCCAGAGCGCCTTCCCCACTCAGAGTCTGGATGAGGCTGGAGTCCAGACCAGTAGACCAGCAACAGACTTGCCAGATTGGATTAGGGGGAAGAACACGAGGATTAGGGGAAGAAAGGGAGGATTAGGGAAAGAGGAGGATTAAAAGAAGGGAAGGATTTGGGGGGGGGGGGGGAGAGAGAGAGAGAGAGAGAGAGAGAGAGAGAGAGAGAGAGAGAGAGAGAGAGAGGAGAGAGAGAGAGGGAGAGAGGAGAGAGAGAGAGAGAGAGAGAGAGAGAGAGAGAGAGAAGAGAGAGAGAGAGAGAGAGAGAGGAGAGAGAGAGAGAGAGAGAGAGAGAGAGAGAGAGAGAGAGAGAGAGAGAGAGAGAGGGAGGGAGGGAGAGAGAGAGAGAGAGAGAAAGAGAGGAGAGAAAGAAAGAGGAAGAGGAGAGAGAGAGAGAGAAAGAGAGAGAGAAAGAAAGAGGAAGAGGGAGAGAGAGAGAGAGAAAGGGGGGGAGGGGAGTCAAGTCTTACCATCAGCCCACAATAGACCTTAACAACGGTGGAATTAACCAAGGGAAGGGACTGGAAAGAGAGAGAAGGGGGGGGGGGGGGTACGTCCTACCTCTCTCCCCCACAATAGATCTCAACCTGACTAAGTTCTTCCACCAAATTTACCCACAAAAGACCTTAAATAAAGCTCTTCCCCACAAGAAACCCTAAGCAAAGCTCTCTCCCTACCTCTCACCCACAGTACTTTCACAAAGCTCTCCCCACCTCTCACCCCCCCCCCCACCCTACAAAAAATTACCCACAACATACCACAACCAAAGCTCTCCCTCAACCTCTCCTCCCCCCCCCCCCACAACAGACCTTCCTCTAAAGTTCACCCAGCCTCCCAAATACTCACGCCCCAAATACTCACTCACACCCAGCCACACAAATACTCTCCCACTGCCAAACCCTCACACCCACAGCCACCCCGATACCCACGGCCAAATACTCACACCCCACAACCCACCCAAACCTCACACCCACGGCCAAATACTCACAACCCAACAACCCCACCCCAAACCCTCACACCCACGGCCACCCCGATACCCACGGCCAAATCCTCACACCCAACAACCCACCCAAACCCTCACACCCACAGCCACCCCGATACCCACGGCCAAATACTCACACCCAACGACCCACCCAAACCCTCACACCCACGGCCACCCCGATACGCCACGGCCAAATCCTCACACCCAACAACCCACCCAAACCCTCACACCCACGGCCACCCCGATACTCACCCACAATAACCTTGATATAGCTGGAGTGGACCCCCGCCTCGTTGGACGCCTCGCAGAAGTAGGTCCCCGCGTGCTGCTTCTCGACGGCGTGGAGGGCCAGGAGGA